GGGTTTCGCGTAAATTAGTTTTTGGTGAGTGGATTTTCAGGTTCCCAGCTGTGACTTCAAAAAGTGGTGGGATGAGGCCATAGTTGAAGAGATTGAAATGGTAAAAGAAACTCAAGAGGAGATGAAGTCTTTGTTTGATGTCATTATCTCGAGGATTGAAGCTCTTGAGGCTGCTGTGAGCAAGAAGAGTTGCTCGAAGGAAGGTTGAAGCTCAAGATCGTTTGTTGAACTTTGTCCAAAAAAGACTGTCTTTGTTTGTTGAACCTTGTTGTCCTTTATTGCCTACATCGTTTAACTATGTTGTCCTTTATTGAACTACTTTGTTGACCCCTGTTGTCCTTTATTGTCCTACATTGTTTAACATTGTTGTCCTTTATTGTCTTACACCGTTTAACCTTGTTGTCCTTTATTGTCCATTATTGTCCATTATTGTCCTAATATTTCCCAAATCCAAACAGATGTCCAAATTTGAATATCAAACATAAAATCCACAACATAAACTAAACATCCGCAAACAACATAACCTGCAACTTAAAAGAAAAACATAACATCCAGAAAACAAGATAAACTGCAACATCCGACACTTCTACTTCGATTTCTTCGTCTTCTTCGCCTTTCCACGTGAGACCCAAGGCGACTTCTTGTACGTCGATTTTGAGCGTTTCCTTTTTTTGGAGGTGATTCTGGTCGTGAGGAGGAGTCTGCGGCTGGTCGTGATGACGATGCTGCTGGTGGTCGTGAAGAGGATGCTGCTGCTGCTCGTGATGAGGATGCTGCTGCTGGTCGTGATGACGAAGCTGGTGGTGTCCGTGAGTGGACTGGCCTAAGCTCTGAAGCTTCCATTATACGATTCTCCGCTGTCGCAACAAAGAAGATCAAGTAACGTCCATTCTCTAGAACTGCCTTAACCGTCGCTTGATGCCAAAGAGAATTCTGTAACGACTCTACACGTTCCAACAACTTATACGCTTCATGTGGTTGCCGTGAGGAGGTTTCAGGAAGTGGTGAACCGGTTGGTACTATAGGAGAAAAGGTTTGACCGAGTTGTGAAGATGTTGGTGCCATAAATCCACTCTTCCATATCTCAAGTACCCCAATTATTCCATCAAAGCTTTCAAGCTTTCTCCGACATATCCTTAAAGCCTTTCTCCATCGATGCTTGGAGCTCCAAGAGTGACTGAATGGAAGGAGGAGGATTCGCTGCATTCGCAGAATCAGGAGCCACATCCTGAGGATCACACCGCGACATCCAACCTCCATCTCGTATAGATCTTTCCAACAGATCTTCTTATTCTGAATGGTTAGGTAATCAATCCAATTCTCAACAACTGGATCAATATACCCTATCCCATCATCGAATCCGGGTTCCAATATGCGCGCCAATAGAGTTTTTTCGCCTGAATCAGCTTCCAAGATGCTAGAAATATCCTATTAATAGTAGTACCTATCGCTTAATAAATATCATCCAAACATCCATACAAACTCATAATCTAATGCAATGAAAACTCACCTCGGTAGTAGTACCAATGGCTTCATTCATGTCATCCAAAGGTATTCCTTTCATTGCAATTTCGGTGAATTTGTGTTTGCACATCTTTGGACAGTCATCCGCAGCAGGTACAGCTTCTCTAAATTTGCGTCCAAGATTTGGAATACACTCAAATGCAAGAATCTACAAAATACAATATCAAAGTTAAAATCATAAAAATCATAACGTTTGGACACTATTAAAATGAGACTAACCTGTAGTGGAACAATGAAACCAGAAAACGAACAAGCTTCTCCTTTTGCTCTCACTTGGCCATCAAACTTGATCACCACTCGCCTGATCTCCTTTATGGTCTCATCAAATGTGTAACGCCCCCATGGAAACCTTTTACACAAATTCAAATCAGAAACCACTCTAAGAAAGAATTGATCAATGTTCCCATCAGGCTTGGATTTTGCTTTCAGTACTATGCATAAAAAAATACAAGACTGCCATCTTCTTCCTGTCTAGAGAGGGATCCTCCATTGAGAGTAACTGAGCTTTCACATCTGCGATTTTGATTTGAGCTTTCCTTCCAAACATTCTCTCCACAAAATTCAAATTCCCCAATTTCTTATAGTCTTGCGGGTAATCATGGCAGTCAAGTCCACTTAACAGCGCATGCTCTCTCATAGAATACCTGATAGGAACTCCATTAACCATTAACCACAAACCAAAACTCATTTCGCTTCTCAGTATAAGCTGTGTGAAGGAGCAGCATCCAAAGTCCTTGATTCATGTGATTTGGCTCCCTAGCCATATGAAAAATGTGCTTAAACTGCTGGTGTGATCTGAACCATTTAACCTCTTCTGGAAGAGACTCTATCATTTCAAAAACATGCTTCATACTACATCTCGTCATTATCCTTGCCGTCTTGCTATACTCGGTTGGACCGAAGTAGAGCTTCTCAGGTCCCATTGGTTGATTTCCCTCATCCGTATCCTGAAATCGAAAGACAGTCTCACAAAGTTATCCCAGTTGTTCCAATTGTACAACTAATCTACTTAAGTCAGTTGTCCCACTTGTCCGAAATTGTACCAAAACCAGTTAAACATATTTCCCACAATTGTCCTATTTGTCCTGCTTATACTCCAATTACATAATGTTATCCCAGTAAACCTTAAATTGATCAAAGATGTCCCATTTATCTCAGTATACTCTATCTATTATCCGCATACATAGTTTTCCCAGTTGTTCCAATTGTACAACTAATCTACTTAACTCAGTTGTCCCACTTGTACGAAATTGTACCAAAACCAATTAAACATATTTCCCACAATTGTCCTATTTGTCCTACTTATACTCCAATTACATAATGTTATACCAGTAAACCTTAAATTGATCAAAGTTATCCCATTTATCTCAGTAGACTCTATCTATTAAACGCATACCTTCGCCGGTGAGGGTTCGTGTTCCACTTCTTCATCCTCCTGCTCTTGCTCTTCAGCCTCCTGCTCTTGTTCTTCAGCCTCCTGCTCTAGTTCTTCACCCTTATGCTCTTGTTCTTCAGCCTCATCCTCTTTTTTCGTCAGCCTCCTGCTCTTGTTCTTCGGCCTCCTGCTCTTCTTCTTCAGCCTCATCATTTCCCGAATCTTGTTCATCACCCTCTTCATTTCCCGAATCTTGTTCATCACCCTCCTCCTTTCCCTCCTCTTCTTCTTCACCCTCCTTTCCCTCCTCTTCTTCTTCACCCTCCTCCTTTCCATCCTCTGCTTCATCACCCTCAGCCTCCTCTACTTCTTCCATGGGGTTTATCGTTTCGGTTTCATCTTCTGTGGGGAAATTTTGGGCCGCGGTCTCCTCGATAGGATTCGGAGAGGTTTCCTTCTCCATTTCTGTTTCTGAACTACAAACATCTTCGCTTGTCTTTCTTGCGGCTTCGGTGGGAATAGAGTTTACATCGGCTTGAGGAATATTTCCTTTCTCTTTATCGGCGGCTTCAGGATTTACTTCAGATTCTCTCGCTGCGCCTTGAGAATGTGATTCCGTTTCAGGCAACGTTTCCCGGCTTTCAGTTGACTCATACTCGACGCCTTTTTGTTTCACACGAGCCATGGAGAAGTCGAAACGAACCGAAGATGGAGAAATCGATTAAAACGGAAGTTGTAGATGCTGGAGTGGAAATAAAATGAACGCAATCTGTTAACTTCTATCAACACTCGCCGGATTCTACGCCGGAAAACTCTCTCAATTCTTTTTTCGAATTTCAATTAACTGTATGGAGGTTTTTTTCGAAGAAGTTATAAAATGGTAAACTAAATTAAGGTAAATACAAAGATATGCGGGCCGGATCCGATTTTAGTTGGGTGGGTTTTCAAATACCCATGTATTCTTATAATTAACGAGACATTCATAGATATGGTAGTAAACAACCACTTTTTCTATTTAAAAAAAATCAAAAAGGAATTAATTATACGACCAATGGCATTGGGACTTTTTTTCAGCGATTTATGGCATTTTAGCATTTGATTCTATAAGAATTGGTAAAAATACTAATATCAGAGTGCTCTTAACACGTTCAGCTTGTTTTTTTTTTATCCATTTGAATATATATCTTGGATCATAGTTGGTTTTCCATCAAATCTCCTTTTTAAGTCTTATGCTTTAAACCTATTATATTCTTCTTGATATTTCACAACCTTTTTTTTTCTTATTATTTCACAACTTGATCTCGTGACACTAAGTATACGTATAAATACAGATTAGCCTTAGATTTTCTGTGGCTATTTTTAAAAATTCATTTAAAAGCTGTAAAAAGAGCCAAAATAACCACGAATAAAAATTAACTACAAATGGTAAAGAGGGATGTTTACATGAAAATTGTATTTTTTTTATAATTCTAACTAATCCAGATAACAGTTTTAAAGTTTGTTTGTTTGCTCATTTATCATTTGCATCAAGATGATCCAATTAAGTGATTCATGTAATTAATCTATCTCAATTATTTTTGTGAAAAAAAAAATATATTTTGATGTAACTGTGACATCATCTAAATCTATATAGTTTGAAAAACAAGTTCAAATGTTATCCGTCCACTCAAAGTTTCAATCCAGTCCGAGGCAAGTTTATTCGTAGCTACTTTTTGCAGTTTTTTAGTAGTGTGACAAATCTTTAGTAAATAGATTCACTGGGTTTTAAACCGATTTGATAACATATTAATAATATTTAGTTTATTTTTTTAAATGTGCACTTCAAATAATACAATAGAGATAAGGATATAACATTATCCTTATGTTAACTCAAACCGAATTTGAAATTTTAAAAACTGAACTAAACTCTTTCTTTATTGGTTTAAAACTTTAAATTAATCAAACTAGCTGTAATCCATTAATCGAACTAATCCGAACCTAACCAAAACAAATTTAAACCGTTTAAATCGATCCTACATTTTTGAGACCTATAAGTAGAGGTCTCCGTGTTATCCGTAGTAACTGTGAACATAGCTAATTTAACTCTTAAGACCAAAAAAGAAACAAAACAAAATCATAAGGGATTAGGGTTTAGCCGTTTCTCCGATTAAGCCTCTGACATGGTTGAAGCGGAAGCTTCCGGCGAAGGGAATGGATCGAGCAGCATACTCTCGCAGAAGAGACCACGTTGTTCTTCGATATCTCCCGGCGATGGAGCGAAGAGAGTGGGAACAGAGGATAAGAGACTCTCGACGACGCTGCTCGATCTGAGTATTCTCGACTGTCCCATCTGCTTCGAAGCATTTACGATTCCTATCTTCCAGGTTTTGCAATCTTACCTGACTTGAATTGTAGCTTCTCTAACTCTGCATTAGGAAGAGGATGGTTTGGAGTTGAAAGGAAGATTTTTTTTTTTTGGAATTGTCCCCATTTTCTAGGTTTTAAGTGTATCTTTAGCTTCTGTTTTGATGATTTTGAGTAAACAGAGAAAGAAAATGCAAGTGTGCCCATTTACTTGATTTTAAGAGTGTCCCAAGCTTTTTTTTTGTAAGATCTGTTAACGAATATCGTTGTACTTCTTGAAAATGTAGAGTATTTATTGGGAAAATTCTGTATTAGGAAGAAGACAATGGAGTAGAAAGGAAGAAAAAAGTTGAAATTGTCCCCACGTTCTAGGTTTTAATTGTATTCTTAGTTGTTGTTTTGATGATTTTGAAGATTCCAGTGAAGTTTTGTGAGAAAACAGCTTATGAAGAATCACAACTCGTTTGGTTTTGTATTTCAGTGTGATAACGGGCACTTGACTTGCTCTTCTTGCTGTCCCAAACTGAGTGATAAATGCCCTTCTTGTTCTTCGCCAATCGGCCGCATTCGCTGCAAAGCAATGGAGAGTGTTCTTGAATCGATCTTTATCCCATGCCCAAATGCAAAGTTTGGATGCACCAAGAAAGTCTCTTACGGAAAAGAATCAACCCATGAGAAGGAATGCACCTTCTCTCTTTGCTCCTGCCCAGTGCTTGACTGCAATTACACTGGATCATACAAGGATCTCTACGATCACTATAAATTTATCCACCTGGATTGTTACGTGGATATAGTGCTTAATACGTTCAGTTTTGGCAATTCCTTTCGTGCCTACATGAATATCAGCGATAAGATATTGCTTAGACTGGACCATACAAGGAGTCTATTGTTTGTAGTGCAGTGTTTTAGGGAGCCGTATGGTGTGTATGTAACTGTAAGATGCATTGCACCATCTGCTCCAGAAGTAGGAGAGTTCTCATATCATATCTCATACACGAGCGTGGATGAACACACTATGATTTACAAATCACCAGTGGTGAAGAGGATTCGTGAAGTGAGTTTTCAAACCCCTCAAGAAAATTCCATGTTGTTGATCCCACTCGGTTGCTTAAATGGTGACTCGTTGGAGATGGATATTTGCATCAAGAAGAAGACTAACCAAGAATAAGAAGCTTGCGGTATAGAAGAGGGCCCTTTTTGTCGTCTGTAAGTTTTAACCTAACAAGCTAAGATCAGATCTAGTTGCTATATGTAAGTTTTTGACCTGGCGAACTAAGATCAGATCTAGTTGCTATATGTAAGTTTTTGACCTGGCGAACTAAGATCAGATCTAGTTGCTATATGTAAGTTTTTGACATGGCGAACTAAGATAAGATCTTGTTGCTATATGTAAGCTTTAACCTAAGAAGCTAAGATCAGAGATCTAGTTGCTATATGTAAGTTTTTGACCTGGCGAACTAAGATCAGATCTTGTTGCTATATGTAAGTTTTTGACCAGACGTAGTAGGATCAGAAGTTGCTTTACGGCTTTAACTTACAGGTTTCAGTTCAGACCGGAGCAAACATAAATACTCAAAACGTTTGTCGTTTGACTTTTTCTTTTCGTAAAATCTCTTGTTAGTTCTGCCCAAAATTAAGCTATAATCCAACGAAACGTTTGTACAATGTCTGAATCGTTGAGGAGCGACGTAAAGATATTTTATTAACTACAGCTTATTAACCAAAACTCCGGAACATTTTGATTTTGATTAACTTTTTTTTTTGTTAACTAGCAGCACTTGTTCTGAGCCAAGAATCTGATCCTTATTTCACCTCTTATACGTTATACGTCAGTGTAGAACTTCTTGATCATATAGTATTGGTCTTTAGTCGAAACTATTTTATTGAGTCGATGCTACTACCAATGGCGGAATCAGAAATTTTTTCATTAGGAAAAATAGAAATATAAGAAGGTGAAAAAGGACACGTCAGCATAGGGGCGATTCTGAAGACGATCTAGAGTATCCTTTCTTCCTGGCCACGTTTCGGCCGGAATCTCTGACGGCGCCGGGACAGGAGGTCCCTCCCGTCGCAAAACCATGGCGGAGTTGATCAGGGGATCATCGCAGGTTATGTCGGTATCGAAGGGGGAAGGTGATGTGGAGTTGATGGGAGTTGATGATGAAGTTAGGGTTTTAACAGATGGAGTTTCGAGTCCTCAGGAGAGGAAGCACGTCGGTGCGTCAAGCGCTGATAAGGTGGAATTTCAAGCTTCTCAGAGGGTGAGCACTGAGAAGGAAAGAGCATCATCGGATCAAACTAAGGTTTTGTCTGAAGTTGCAAAAGCGGATGACAAAGGAAAGTCTTGGTCGTTGGTGGTTAAAGCTTCGCAAAGTCTGCAGAAGTTTGATGTTGAGGTGGAATCAGGGGAAAGCGGCCGATACATGCCTCAACCGAGTGAACTGGTACCGTTTCATGCCTGTACTTTTGAGCTGTGCCCACACGTACGAACTTTTTAAATTGTGTATAATCATGCCCAAACATGTTTTTTTGGCCATTTCCTGCATTGACTTTGCATCCGTTAGTCAACCCCGTCAAATTGTTAACGGGGAATGACTCAGCTGCCACGTTGGAAACCCTGTTGGAACGGAAACATGTGAATTTAATGATATGACGTCGTTTTTGGAAATGCTAAAAAAATTTTTGTAGCTGTAGCGGATCGAACCCACCACCACTCCCATGGAAGCAAACCCGGAAACCACTGGACCAATTGAATTATTTGATATTGTATCTATACCTTATGAATATACTTACACTCTTACACATCGAACCCAAGACCCCACACGTAGAAGCAAGCCCAAAAACCACTAGACCAATTATGTAATTTGGTTTTCTATTGATAGCTTATTATATTTATTTACAATTGTACAGCTATAATTAAAAAAGAAACAAACACGACATCGTTTCAGTCTTCTTCAGGTTTCTTTTTCGTCGACGGAAATTTCTAAGTCCTAAATCAACTCAAAGACTCGAAGCAGATTGCTTGAATCGACGCACCTGTGGTTGATTTTGGGGAAAATCGTTTTGTCAAGAAGAATTTGAAGGCATTCCGAGTTTGTGTTTGGAAAATTAACTTCTGGGATCTCAATTTCCCTAAAAAAATGAGGTACTTCAAAATTCTAGGGTTTAGATTTACAAATTGATTTTGAAATTTGATATTGCTCTTGAATTTTTTAATCATTTGTAATATTAAATTCATGTGTTGAGTTGGTAAAAAAATTGGTGAAGACTTTTGAGAAGTATAATATTACAAATGATTAAAAAATTCAAGAGCAATATAAAATTTCAAAATCAATTTGTAAATCTAAACCCTAGAATTTTGAAGTACCTCAATTTTTTAGGGAAATTGAGACCCCAGAAGTTAATTTTCCAAACACAAACTCGGAATGCCTTCAAATTCTTCTTGACAAAACGATTTTCCCCAAAATCAACCACAGGTGTGTCGATTCAAGCAATCTGCTTCGAGTCTTTGAGCTGATTTAGGACTTAGAAATTTCCGTCGACGAAAAAGAAACCTGAAGAAGACTGAAACGATGTCGTGTTTGTTTCTTTTTTTAATTATAGCTGTACAATTGTAAATAAATATAATAAGCTATCGATAGAAAACCAAATTACACAATTGGTCTAGTGGTTTCTGGGCTTGCTTCTACGTGTGGGGTCTTGGGTTCGATGTGTCGAGGAGACAAACTTTTTCGTGTTTGTTTCTTTGTTTAATTATAGCTGTAAGAGTGTAAATATATTCATAAGGTATGGATACAATATCAAATAATTCAACTGGTCCAGTGGTTTCCGGGTTTGCTTCCATGGGAGTGGTGGTGGGTTCAATCCGCTATGGCTACAAAAATTTTTTTTAGCATTTCCAAAAACGACGTCGCATTATTAAATTCACATGTTCCCGTTCCAACAGGGTTTCCAACGTGGCAGCTGAGTCATTCCCCGTTAACAATTTGACGGGGTTAACTAACGGATGCAAAGTCAATGCAGGAAATGGCCAAAAAAAACAGGTTTGGGCATGATTATACACAATTTAAACAGTTCAGGTACGTGTGGGCACAGCTCAAAAGTACAGGCATGAAACGGTACCAGTTCGCTCGGTTGAGGCATGTATCGGCCGCTTTCCCGGTGGAATCAGTGGATGGAGTTGACACAATCTCTGTTCCCGATTCGGTATTTGATAATCCGCCACTCTGGACAGATTGTATCGTTGGCAAATTCATGTCAAAGGCACCACATGTGGGCTCGATACACATGATCGTCAATAAGATCTGGAGTCTTGGAGATAAATCAGTGAATGTTGAGGTCTTTGTTGTGGATGACACAACAGTTAAATTTCGAATAAATGATGCTAGTACCAGAGCAAGGGTCCTGAACAGACGTATGTGGAATATAAAGAATGTTGCTATGATAGTCTCCAAATGGAGTCCAGTTGCAGAGGAGGCCCAACCTGAGCTTAGGACGATGCCACTTTGGGTTACCCTGAAGCATGTGCCACGGTCTCTCTACTCCTGGGTGGGGCTTAGCTTTTTAACAAGTCCGATTGGAGTCCCCAAGAAACTCCATCCGGATACGTTATGGGCGAAGAACTTCGAAGAGGCGAAGGTGTTTGTCGAAGTTGACTTGACAAAGAAGCTTCCTGACTCTTTTAGATTTAAGCTTAAGAATGGGAAAGAGGCTTGTGTGGAGTTTGAGTTTCCTTGGCTCCCACCAAGATGCACTTTATGTGGAACGTGGGGACACCCAAACAAAGACTGCTTGTCAGAAGCTGGCTCGCGAGAAATTCTAAGGCGTGAGTCTCCTCAGAAAGTGATAGTGAGCAAGGCTTCTGATTCAATTAGGAAGCTCCCTGTTTCGACGGACAGCAAGACCCCTGTTTCGAAGGAGAACAGTGATAAGGATGGGAAAATCTCGGAAGGATTGAGTGGAAAGGTAGAGAACGTGGCTTTGCAGCTTTCTGATGCAGAGGGTAGTAACAACAAAGAGAATCCGGTGGAATGGCAAAGTGTTTCACCAAGCAAAATCGGACGTCAGAAGAGTAAAGTCTCTGAAGACATTCAGATTGTGGCAAATTCTCGCTATTTATCTCTTTCGGACAAGGAAGAGGTCGAGTCTGCAAACTCTCAACTGGAGGGGAGTGAGTCAGGAGAGATAAAGGAGGATATTGCTTCTAAACAGCAAGAGGAGGATGATGAGGTGGATAAATCGCAGAGTTTAGACACCTGTACAGTTCCACCTCGAATTTCAAACTGCAACTAAGACATCTCAAGCAACTAAACTTTCTTCTTCTCCGCCGTCAGCCAAAAAGACGTCGGCGAAAAGGAGGACCCGTCGAACTCGTAATCATCATTAATGTCGATATTCTTCTGGAATATTAGGGGACTCAACAAAGTACATACGCATAATGTAGTTCGAAGTTGGTGTTTACAAAATAATTTCGAGTTTGGTGCTCTGTTAGAAACTCGGGTGAAGGAATCAAGGTCTGCGCTGGTTCTATCGTCGATGTTTCGTGGATGGCTTTCATGAACAACTATGAGCATCACCGATTAGGACGAATTTGGATAGTTTGGAAGGATTGGGTTAGAGTTACTCCGGTTTACAAAATTTCACAGCTGATATCTGTTCTAGTGAAGCTTCCGACTGAGGAGAATGAGTTCCTGTGTACATTTGTCTATGCTTCTAACTTTGAAGATGAGAGGAAAGTGCTCTGGGATGATCTGAGGAGTCATTCAAGTTCTCCAATCCTGCGAAAGTTGAAATGGGTTGTCATGGGAGATTTTAATGAGATTATGGAAACAGAGGAGCGATCAAACTCGGATACTTATACGGGTTCTGATTCTGGTATGTATGATTTTCAAAATATGGTACGGGACTGTAGCCTTACTGACATGGGTTATCATGGACCCTTGTATACTTGGAGCAACAAGAGGTTGAATGGTCTTATCTGCAAGAAGCTGGACAGGGTATTGGTAAATGATATTTGGTTGATGAATTCTCCCTCTTCGTATAGTGTTTTTGAACCAGGTGGTTGCTCTGATCATCTCCGTTGTCGAGTACATCTAACTCCAGGTATTATCACCGCAAGAAAGAAACCTTTCAAGTTTGCAAATGTGGTCACTTCTCTTCCGAGTTTCAAGACCAAGGTTGCGGAATACTGGGGTACTACCACACCTTTATATATCTCGACATCAGCTTTATATCTTTTCTCCAAGAAGTTAAAAGAACTTAAAGGGGCTATCCGTATTATATCGCGTGAAAACTTGAATAATCTGTCGATGAAGGTGAAAGACAGTTTTGAAACACTGTGTAATGCGCAAGAGTTGACCATGGTACTGCCGACTACTGCTAATCAGAAGAGCGAA